TGAGTTCTCTAAGTACTTTATAAATTTCGGATATTAACTCCGTATAAGATATATTAGCAAATAATGTTCTCCCATTCTGTGAGTTATCTTTTTATTTTGTGGATGTTTTCCTTTGTTGTGTAAAAGCTTTTTAGTTTGATGTAGTCCTATTTGTTTTTTGTCTTTGTTTCCTTTACCTGGGAAGATATATCCAATAAAATATTGCTATGAGCAATGTCTGACATTTTGCTGCCTATGTTATTGTCTATGATTTTTATGGTTTTGGGCCTAACATTTAAGTCTTTAATACATTTTGAAATTATTCTTGTGTGTGGTGTAAGAAGGTGGTATAGTTTCATTTTTCTGCACACATCTGTCCAATTTTCTCAACACTATTTATTTAATAAACTATCTGTAGCCCATTGTATGTGTCCTGTCAAATATTAATTGATTATAAAGGCATGGGTTTATTTCTGGGCTTTCTATTCTGTTCCACTGATCTATGTGTCTGTTTTTATGCCAATACCATGCTGTTTTGATTACTATGGCCTTATAGTATAGTTTGATATTAGGTAGCATGATTCCTCCAACTTTGTTCTTTCTCAGGATCACTGTGCTTTGCAGGGCCTTTTGTAGTTCCATATAAATTTTTGAAACTTTTTAGTTCTGTGAAATATGTCATTGGAATCTGGTTAGGAATTGCATTGAATCTATGGATTACTTTGGGTAGTATGGGCATTTTAATGATGTTAATTCTTCCTATCCATAAATATGGTATGTGCTTCCACTTATTTGTATCTTCAATTTTTTCTTCAGTGTCTTGTGATTTTCTGAGTACAGGTCTTTTACATCCTTGTTTAGGTTTATTCCTAGGTATTTTATTCTTTTTGAAGCAATTATAAATTGGATTGTTTTCTTAATTTTTCTTTCTGTTTGTTATTGGTGCATAACAATGCAACTGATTTTTGGATATTAATTTTGTATCCTGCTACTTTGCTGAATTCATTTATCAGTTGTAGTAGTTTCTTGGTGTAATCCTTGGGGTTCTCTATGTACAGTATTATGTCATCTTCAAGTAAAGACAGTTTTACTTCATTCTTTCCAACTTGGATGCCTTTTCTTTCTACTTCTTGTCTGATTGCTGTGGTTAGGACTTCTACTATTATGTTGAATAAGAGAAGTGAAAGCAGGCATCCCTGTCTTGTTCCTGAACATAAGTGGAACGCTTATAGTTTTTGTCCTTTGAGTATGATGCTGGCAGTGGGTTTGTCATATATGGTCTTTATCATGTTTAAGTATGTTCCCTCTAATCCCACTGTACTGCAAGTTTTTATCATAAATGTATGCTGGATTTTATCAAATGCTTTTTCTGCATCTATTGATGTGATCATGTGGTTTTTATCCTTCATTTTGTTTATGTGGTGAGTCACATTTATTGATTTCTGAAGGTGGCACCAACCTTACATTATTGGAATAAATCCCACTTGACCATGGTGTATGGTCTTTTTGACATATTGCTGTATTCGATTTGCTAATATTTTGTTGAGGATTTTAGCATCTATGTTCATCAGAGATATTGGCTTATAATTTTCTTTCCTTGTAGTGTCTTTATCTGATTTTTGAATTAGGATAATGCTGGCCTCATAAAATGAGCTTGGGAGAGTTCCTTTCTCTTTGAATTTTTTGCAATGGTTTGAGAAGGAGAAATGTTAGTTCTCAGAATGTTTGGCAAAATTCTCCTGTAAAGCCATCCAGTCCAGGGCTTTTGTTTGTTGAGACTTTTTAAAATTACTGCTTCAATTTCACTAGGTGTGATCTGTCTGTTCAGATTCTCTGATTCTTCCTGATTTAGTGTTGGAAGACTGTATGTTTCTATGAATTTATTCATTTTCTCCAGGTTTTCAGTTTGTTGGCATATGGTTGTTCATAATATTTTCTTACAATCCTTTGTATTTCTTTCATGTGAATTGTTATTTCTCCTCTTTTATTTCTGATTTTATTTATTTGGGTCCTCGTTTTTTCTTGATGAGTCTCGTTAAAGGTTTGTCAATCTTGTTTAGCTTTACAAAGAACTAGCTCTTAGATTCATTGATCTTTTTTATCATTTTTTTTAGACTCTATTTCATTTATTTCTGTTCTGATCTTTATTATTTCCTTCCTTGTACTCACTTTGGGCTTTGTTTGCTGTTCTTTTCAAGTTCCTTTAAGTATGTAGATTGTTTATGTGAGCTTTTTCTTATTTTTTGAGATAGGCATGTAATGCTATGAATTTCTACTTAGGATTGCTTTCCCTGTGTCTGACAGATTTTGGATAGTTGTGTCTCATTTTCTTTATTTCAGTATCTTTTGATTTCTTGTGTTATCTCATTGTTGACCTATTCATTGTTTAATAACATGTTATTTAGCACTTACATCTCTGTGTGTTTTTCAGTGTTCTTGTGATTGATTTCTAGTTTCATAGGATTGTGGCTGGAGAAGATGGTTGATATGATTTCAATCTTCTTAAATTTATTGAGATTTGTTTTGTGTCCCAACATGTGGTTTATACTAGAAAATGTTCCATGTGCACTTGAAAGTATGTATATTCTGCTGCTTTGAGGTGAAATGCTCTGAAGATATCAATTGAATCTATTTGATCTACTGTGTTATTTAAGGCCACTGTCTCCTTGTTGATTTTCTGTCTGGAAGATCTATCCATTGAAGTCAATGGGGTGTTAAAATACCCAACTATGACTGTATTTCTCCCTTTATGTCCATCAAGATTTTCTTTACATTTTTAGGTGCTTCTCTGTAGGGTGTTGGGTATGTTAATTTTTATTAGGGTTGTATCATCTTGTTGGATTGTTCCCTTTATCATTATGTAATGTCCTTCTTTGCCTCGTACTGTAGCCTTGGTTTTAAAGTCTGTTGTTTTGGATATAAAGATCACTACCTTTGCTTTTTTTTCCCTTTCCATTTGCATGAAATATCTTTTTCCATCCCTCTGGAGAATTTTCTTGTTCTTTCATTTGGGGTCTGTTTGTTTGTCTTCCCATTTTGGCTACTTCTTTGTTTTGTTTCTATGTATTAGGTATATTTGCAAAGACTCTGGTGTAGGCTTATGTCACATTGTGACTTGCCCTGGCCAACCTGTTTGGAGTCATCAGTGACCCACATTTTGTAGCTCTCTCTGCTGGGCCTGTTTGTATGTGAAAAGAACCAGGCTGCACACCAAGGCTGGCTTTTACCAGCACAGGCCCCAGGGCAGGGTCATCTAAAATTTCATAACTCCCAGAGATCCACTTTAGTTGTTATATTAATCAGTGATATAGCCTCAAGCAGTACTCAGCAGTTGGCTTAAGCTCCACAGAGTGGAGCAGAGTAATTCCTTACTCTGAGGGGAAACGTATTGCTTCCCCTCAAGCTGATGCCGTTGGAGGGCAGTTCTCTGCCCAAGAAAGAGGGCCTCTACAGTATGGGGAATACTCAGCATAGGGATCTGGTGGCTGTTCCTTCAGTTCTCTCCTTAGAGCCGCAAGTCCCAGGCTCCTTATGCATCTTTAATCTACTCTGCCCTCCCTCTGCTGGAGCCCAGTGTAACTGACTGCAGACGAGATTATCATGCATTTGCCTTTTAAGAAGCTCTCTGAGTCTCCAGCCATCTCTCCCTGGTAGACAGAAACCTCATTGGTTTTCACAGCTGGATGTTATCTGGGTTCCTTTCTGGGTTCCGGTGGTATAGGCTGGGGAGCCCAGCTTGGGATTTAGACCCTACACATCTTACAGGGACCTCCCTGGCTGCTGAGATATCCCTCTGGATCTTTAGCTGCCACCCATGGGGCCCAGCCAGTCCTCTTGTGCTTCCTCTGCTCTCCCTACCAGTCACGTTGATGAAGTGGTTTCTTTAGTCTGTCCGTGGTTACAAGACTTCTCTCCAACTAGTGTTCAGTTGGTTAGTCAGAATGATTTCTCTACAATTTCATTGTAATTCTAGTTTGGTCCTGGAAGGAGGTTAGTGGAGCTTCCACTTACTCCTCCACCATCTTGGGTATGGAATAATTATGAAGAGATGCTATGGGATCTACATCCCTGTCGAACTGTGTAAATATAATATAAAGCCTGTGTTGTCCTACCTTCACCTGCCAGAAGGTAGGAGCAAACTTAGCCAAACCCTGCAATGTCTTCCTTGGGTCTGCATTCCAATGATAATGTTTCACACTATGGTAATAATTTTGAAATATAGCTTTGTACAGAGTTACTTTTCTGAATTTTATATAAGGAATGACAACTTTAAATTTGCTTCACTTAAAAATTCACTGTAGTAATGTACAGCAAAGTAACTACATTGCATTGTATACTTGAAATTTGCTAAGAAGGTAGATCTTAAATGTTCACAAAAAAGAAAAAGAAAAAATAACTATGTGAGGTGATGGATGTATTAATTAGCTTGACTAATTAGCATGGTGATTATTTCACAATGTATATACATATCAAAATGTAAAGTTATATACTTTAAATACAATTTGTATTTGTGAATTATGCCTCTAGAGCTCAAAAAAAATCACTGTAAAGTTCCTTTTCATTGGATTTGTCTCATAATAAATGATTGCATATTGCTTTGGTGACTATTTGTAACATTGTTCTTAATTTATTTCTGTACTTTATAATTGTTATAATTATAATGCATTTCATTTTTCTCTTTTATGTTATAACATTATCATCAGGAGGAAGTTTTTATATTTGAATTATGTTAATAAGTATTTTCTATTGATGAGAGGGTCCCTACCTATGTCTAAGTCTGTTTGACATTCTCTATTATTTTATACCACCAAGTCACCATTTCACCATCCAGGGCCAGTTAGAGTGAAATGAGACAAAAATGCCATCTTTGTGAATGATTTCTCTTTCTTCTGAAAGTCAATATGGCAAAGTACTCTTTTGCATTTTTCATGTATTTATTTTTTTGTCTCTTAATCTTATGTCATGGCTCATTTTTATTCTTTTCTTTTTCTTTCTTTCTCTTTTATTTTTATTTTTGGCAGAGCAGAACTTGCTTCCTGTTGTGATGCTGTCCAAAACTTCATTGTTTCTCAAAATAATACTCCAGTTGGAACTAACATGAGTTATGAAGTGGAAAGTAAAAACGAAATCCTAATTAGAAAGACCATTTTTAATATGTTTCCAGTGGTGAGTAAAGATTTATTGTGGTTTATTTGTGTCATCCTTCCAGGTAAATTTTCTCTAGCTTCAAGTTATAGCGTATAACATTGGTGGATTTAATTAATTAAAATATCGTACCCTGTTGTATAAGATGTATAGCTGCCCATTTTAAAAAGGCAATTTTGAATGCATGGTGGCTCTGCAGGGAATGATATTTATATCTTAAATGATAAGCTCTCCTGCTTCTTGAGTCTTCATGACATTCTTGAATGAGATGAGGTACTTGGGCTTTCTGCATAGTAATTACTGGGGCTTGGGAAGATGACCATTTTTCACCTGGAATAAGATTGTTCCAATTATCAGTTTGGGTAATTGAGTCAATTCCTTCACAAAGAACTGTAGGCTTATGTGATTAATCTTTGGGAATTAAATATGTAAGGAATTTTTACCAATAGACATAACCCTCATAGACGGATTTTGCCTCATGTTACTAAAGTATCCCAAACTCCTAGAACATTCCTAGTACTTATATGCACCCATCTCATGTTTGTTAATAAACTAGTGAGTAATGATACAGTATCATTGCAAGAAGAAACTTGTCCCTTAATATAAATCCAAAGTCGGGGGAAATTTTTGTCATGAAGAACATTTTGTTGCTTAGAAACACATACTCTCAGGAATCTTTTGTAATTGATTTGGTTAAGAGCAATCAGGCCAAGTCAATATGGTCAAAATGGGATCACTTTCTATATGTAATTTACCAACTGTAGACTATTAGATTCTTACAATTAATTTTTTTGAACCTTTGACTTCTTACAACTAATTTATTGTTAGTCATGTAAGTTGCTCCAACTTTTAAAAAATACTACAATTCAATGGAAGAATAATTTGCTGGGAAGGAATGAAAATAAACAGAAAACAGTAGAAGAAAATATTACACATTTTATGGAAGAAAAGGAGGGCAAAAACAACTCACAACACATTCTAAAGTACCCTCATGATGCATTGGAATACCAATAGTTGGAAAGATAATAACTAACGAATATTTATATTCCCTATCAAGGACAGGTGTGAAGGGTTCCACAATGAGCAACTCTTTGGCCCATGCAATTTTTGCTAATGTTTTTCTTGCTTTAGATGACTAGACAGAGGAGCACCAGGTATTTTTCTGCTTCTAATTGGCACCTTGAAAAGAATAACCTTACCAGAGGCTGGATAATTCTGTATGCAATTAACAACATTCATTTCCCAAATTTATACTGATTTTTTAAAATTGGGAGGAGAAAATTATTAAGTCAATCCGGTAATAATTGCAAAGCTAGGTAACGTTTCTGTGTTGCTTAAACATTCCTGGTTCCATGGATGTGGCTTATGAGGGAGATGACCCCTTTCCCACCATGCTTTCCTACAGACCCACCCTGCTCTGCTACCCTCTGCCACGTTCATCTCAGGTCTGCTGGGCAACACAGCAAGACATCTTAACAGATGCAGTTTGTCCAAAAACTTTGCTAAGTAAATTGCAAAGGAAACCAACAAAGTTGGTTTTCAACCAGACTGAGCAATGGACAGACATTTGAGTTGCACAAATTTATATTTTCTTAGGAGGTTTATTTTAGGAAATTTTGGTATTTATAATTTATTTAAACTCTTACTGAACACTGAGATCCCAAAGCATATGGATGTTTTCCCCCAGTTGACCAAAAAGCCAGACGAAAACATACATTATCTTGACTGCTTAATTGGAGATACGCTTCCCTCAGTAATCTTGTCTATTGTTCCATAAAACACATATTTGCATTCTACCCTATCTATAAAACTCAGAATTCATTGTGGTACCAGTTAGTAAGCACTGTGTGAAGATGTCTTGAGCTAGAAGTTTAGTGACTAGAATTTCCCTGAGGTATTCGGGAACCATTCATTTTATGAGCCAGACAATCTGCTATGCATTGCAAATATAAAGAGAAATAAGGCAGGTACTTAACATTTTATGCGTTGAATGTGAGGAGCTGCATGATGTGTAGGCACTAAGAGCATGGACTCGGACACAGATTGCCTGGGTTTGAATCCCAGCTCTGCCACGTGCTAGCTTTAACTCATGCCTCCAGCTTCCCATCTGTAAAATGCTTGTAAGGTTCCAGTGTGGACTAAATGCCTTTATAAGTTATGCACTTGGTTATCTTGTGTAATATGGACTATATGATTTTTAATTTTTAAAGAAAAATCTAGAAGTGCAGAAATAGAGTTCTCTTTGGTTGTTAGCATCTCCCACATACACCAACAGGAGCAGATGGCATCATAGTGATCCAGGGGTCTCCTGAGCTGCTCACAACCACATTGGCCCTGGGGTGTTGCTAGTAGTGCTATTAAACTGGCTTTGGGGAGTTGGGTGCCCTGGCTTGTAGCATTTGCCAATTTTAGCAGTGTAAATACCCCCACCATGGCCAATTTTAATTTACCAATGGTTTAACAACCCCCGTACAAAATTCCTGGATATTTACCAGTTGACCCTCCCAAACTCCTCCCATTGGGCTTCAGCACAATGCGGGGGCTGCACCAGGGTGGGACATTGAGCCAGCGAACACTTATTTAACAGTCACTTCATACATTGAACTGTGCTAGGTCTGCAGTGAAAGATGAGGATCAACTAAAGTAATAAACACACTCTCTGCCTTGAGGACTTACATTCCAATTCTAGAGAAAAAAATATGTGAATCAGGACCCTGTCACTGTAGAATATGAGCTGGCACCATTATTGCTGGTCAAGGTCATGTCATTCCTTCAGGGAAAGTGACCAGCGAAGGAAAAGTGTAGTGTTGAACTGAAGAGTTATGTTTCAGTCAGGGGAGGAGTTAGTGAAAGTGGGAATCTTTCAGGGTCGGCAAGTTAGGTCCTTGGAAAAAATTTAAAAGATTCAGTCCTAGGAAATTAATTTGAAATATGTCAACGTAGAGTGAGCAGGCCTCCCTGAAATGCCATGGCTGATCATTTGCAGAGACGGCAGGCATAAATCTCCTATCGTCACTGAGCCTGAAGGTCTAACTATTTAAGAAGCTTGGGAAAGTTTGCTAAATTAGCTATTAATTTTAGTTCCCAGAATAGAGGATTTTACACTACTTTCCAATTACTCTCTTTTTTTTTTTTTGCTGAAAACATTCCTGTTGGTAAGGCACAATGTAGGATTTTGTCATTCTCATTTTATTTAATTATGTGATGTAAACTGCATTATATTTTATACACAAATATATTATATTTTGTATTATTACATTATATTGTATGCGATGTGCAGTATATTTCTTTCCAGAAATAACAAGTTTAGAAGATTTTTTTATAAGTCGTAAGTTGATCAACATGGTATGGTATTGTTACTTCTCTTTCTTTCCATAGCATGTGGAAAAGTTAAGGTACTTGAATTAAGCTAATGATGTTTATGATTCTAAAACTAAAGATATTTCAACGGTAGTTTTTCACTTTTTCCTGCTAGTCGCAGCCTTTTGTGGAGCACCCTTACAATCAGTGTGCCGTGGTTGGAAATGGGGGGATTCTGAATAAGTCCCTCTGCGGAGCTGAAATAGATAAATCTGACTTCGTTTTTAGGTAAGACCTGTACAGCTGGTTCCTTTGAACCAAAGATTTGGTGGATACTGTAGACCTGGTGTAATGGTACTCTGTAAATTTTGACCTTTGAGCTGTGTTGTGTAAGTCTACAACTTATTTTGGTAGGCTTTCCTGCAACATTAAATGGGTCATTAGTTCCTCTGAATGTGGACACCTGAAGGAGAACAATGTGCTGTGATCTGATCATTTAATTTTCAGAAGCTGTGGGTGAAATCATGGCAATAGAGGGTCTGCAATGCAGGACTTGTCAGAGCCTTCAGTATCCTAAGGATAGCATGGCTCCCTGGGAGGACTCTCTGAAGCAACATTTCCCAGGTTCACCTGACCTTGAAAACCTTTTTCAAGGAAGTTTTGTTCTTAGATACTTGGGAAAATGCTGGACTAGGCTCTGCATACCCTTGCAGCATCATTGAATTTTTTTTTTAAAATAGTGCAGCTTCTAAATTATATGCTCTTTTTCAATGTTTATGTCTCAATACCAGCCAGCTTGCGAGAATAGAAACAAAAGTGGTTTCCATGTATGCCTGCACTCATAAGACATGGTATAGGGCATCTTCACTTTCAGAACTTGAAGGAAAGGTGATTCACCCCTGGGAGGATAGATTTCAATTGCAATGCACCTTTTCAAGAAGTAAATTGAAATCTGTTTCTTCCTATTTCAGGAACACTGATTTTATACATCAGAGGAAATCCTTTGATCCTTATCAATTCAGTGTGGCGCTTTTCAGCAAATAATTTTTTTTTGAATCAGTAGTTTCCCCTTCACTTTAATCTCATTTAAAATGTTTATGCTGAAGGTAATGTCAGAACAACAAACCCATCAGTCCAACAATTATTGGATGTGTCCCCATGATGAATGTTAAAATGACCAACACCTGAATGATTTAGCCATTTGATTAAAGTGCTCAGTACTAAAAAGCCATCATCAAGGTAAATAATAATTCTTGCAATAGACCTTTTATAAACTTAAAATCCCCAAAACATTTGTAAAGTAAAATGCCTAAACATCTATTTTACTTTATGCAAATATGAAATATAGGAAATCCAACAAGTGTAGTCTTAAAATTTTTTTAAATCTCACCAGCTACTTAATTTATAACTTGAAAATAAATGCATACATCTCTAGATTCTACATTTGCTGATGCCACATATCTTTCTGCATATAGAGTTCCCTTTGAAGTTTGCCTTTCAAAGTAAAAGGCAAAATGAGAGCTAGACATGATTGATATCATTAAAGTTTATTTAATTATTAAGCCTGTACTTATTTTGGCTGTACATGTTCATATTTTATAAAATAATCTCAAAAGTGCTTTTTATTACTTTTTTTTCATTTCAAAAGATTGGGAGCTACCAGTTAAGAGGGTAAGGAGCAAAAATAGATGATAAGCGACTTTCTTATGCTACTATATATCTCCAATACCCAATTATTTCCCTCTCCTTTGATACTACTGTATATGGAAATAACCTTTTATTTTTCAACAGAATGTGGGATTGACCTAGAATGTAGATTTGTTATAGGAAGCCCACTAATGAGGTCATTTCTGGTCTATTATCTATGATTAGTATTTTCCCCAAAATACTGTATTGAATTATTATCAGATATGTTTTCTTTATCAAGGTGGGAAGCATGTGTTTTATTTGCGTGTATGTTTAATAGAGCATAGAATAAAATATTTCAACTTCATCCATACTTCAGAACACATGAACTTGAAGCAGCCTTCCTTAAGGAAATACTCAGGGATGCTCCTTTTGTATGTATAGTTTTAAAGAGGTCTACTTAAAATTCTGTAAATGATACTTATGGAGTATCATCAAATGATAACCAACTTTCCCTTTTTTTTGTGACAGGAATATAATTGCTCAGAATTACAATTGTTAACTTGTTTTCTAATTTAAAAACAAATCAGTACTCAAAAGAGGATGAAAATGTCAGTATAAAAACATCATTATAAGAACATAAGTGATTTATTTATAATAGCATAAATTGGTGGGAAAACTATCCATGTGGGAATCAGGAGATTTTTCTTTTTTCATTATAATCTTTGTTTCTGGCAGACTCTGTAACCTTCATCACAATGCCTCAATGTTTTAAAATCTGTAATTGGTGATCATACCACTGTGGGAATATAATCAGTATAAATAATAGTTTTAATAAGAGAAGTGTGAACTCTTCAAAAGCTAGGCAAGGTTTAATTGTCATTTAGCTTTGTTACTTATAAAAGGCTTAATCAATGTTGAAATCATTTATCAAATATGTATATTTTATGCAATGTTGAACCAACTGAGTTCAGTAGTTATTAAATAGTTTTAAATGGAAATCAGATGAATTCTGAGGATCTCTTAACACCAGTGATTTCCTCGAAAAAAAATGACAATGATCCTGTGTGTGTGTATTTGTGTGTATATACTCTTTTTTCAAGTTGTATCTTGAAAATAGTTTCCTTCCAAATTTCAGGTGTAACCTTCCCCCAACGACAGGAAATGTTAGTAAAGATGTTGGCAGTAAAACCAATCTTGTGACTGTAAATCCTAGTATCATAAGACTAAAGTAAGTACCTCTTACTTACAAAGCAGCTCAAGAACATTTGTTCATTGTTTACCATGTTTCTTAGTCTGAGCACTCAATCACATTGCTGAGACTGACTTGAAATACAGCTGGAATGATTTTTAAGGAAAATATTTAAGAATATATTTGTAGTTTTTGAATTTCTATCAAGGTGTAGTTCATAAGAGGTATGACCAGTTCTACTTATAATGTTATAAGCTGAATATTGCTCATCAAATGAGAACTTATCTCTTTATCTTCATTTACAAAAGTGAAGTTACTTTTTTCAATTTTCTTTCAGAATTTTAGTGTTACAATTTTATCTTAGTAGTACTTTCCTTGATAAACCTTAATCTATTTGGAAACTTTAGAGAGCAAACCTTAGTGTAACCTAGCAAAATTTGATTTTAATTTTGGCTAGAGTATTACTAAAGAATAATCCCCATGCATCATATTCCATTATGTAATTACTATGAAATGTTTGTTGGTTAATGAAAATCCTGTACATAGTTTTACTGTATTATTTTAATCAAAAGTTGTTGATAGAATACACTCCTCAAGTAATTCTTGTATCTACTAAGAGAATATAAAATATTGTGTCTGTCTCCCAAAAGCTTACTTTCAAAATTCACACAATTAAGTAGTTATTATTTAAATCAAAAATATGGAGAGCTACCACAATACATGGAAGAAATTTAAAAAGTGTGTGTGTATGTATATATATTTTAGGTTTTCAAAGAAAACTTGTATAATCACATATGTAAAAAAGGTGCACAAATCACAAGTACACAGCTCATTGAATTTTTTAAATGCGCAGATATTTTAAGAGTGTCCAATGTTTGAGAAAACATTTCATTATTATAAACTTGGAAGGTGTTTCAACATCAAAAAGCAAGGTTAGAAAAAAAAATTACTGATTTAGAAGACCAAAGAATATAAGAAATGTGTGTTCAGTAAGGGTATTGCATGGTAAGAAAGTAGAAATGAAGTTCTAGAAATACCAAGAAAGAGAGATGAAGGTCTAATCCTTTATATTTATAAGATTTGAGTTTTCTCTGAGTCTATGGTTTGTTTTTTTTTATATACAGTGATATGCACGGTTCAGTTTTTTTGACCAGTGGTAAATTTAGGTTTGTGTTTCCAAAACCACGACTTTGATTATTATTATGATTTTTTTTAATTGGCAGATATGGGAACTTAAAGGAAAAGAAAGCAGTCTTTCTGGAGGACATTGCAACCTATGGAGACGCATTCCTTCTTCTGCCAGCATTTTCCTTCAGGGCCAACACTGGTGCCTCTTTTAAAGTGTACAACACACTGAAAGAATCTAATGCAAGGCAAAAGGTTATATATTTCCATCCCAAGTACCTGAGGAACCTTGCCCTCTTCTGGAGAACTAAAGGTGTGACAGAGTATCGCCTGTCCTCCGGCTTCATGATCATAAGTGCAGCCGTCGAGCTGTGTGAGAATGTGAAACTGTACGGATTTTGGCCCTTCTCTAAAACTGTACAGGACACACCTGTCAGCCATCACTACTATGACAACAACTTACCTAAACGTGGTTTCCATGAGATGCCCAAAGAATACAGCCAGATTCTCCAACTTCACGTGAAAGGAATCCTCAAATTACAATTTAACAAATGTGAAATAGCCTAAGCAAAGTGACTTAAAATGAGAATAATTTTAATGTAATGTCATAGGTGAGTAACAATGTCTCCGAACACAAAAATTGGTGGTGGTAGCGTATGATAGGAGCCTTAAAACTTGGTTTGATCAACTTCCCCACTCAGTATGGAACCTTAGCAACTCATTCAAGCTTTCTGATCTTCAATTTCCCTGCCTGTAAAATGGGGACCAAGATATATAACTCATATTAGGAAAATATGAAAATCAATGAAAACTCTTGGCAAAGTAGTTCCTGAGGCAGGGACGCAAAATCTATCTCCTTGTTGATAACTTCCACCCTCACCAGACTGATGACAAAAGTATTCTGTCATGGAAACCCTTTCTGGAGAGGGCAGCTGAATTGCCAGTACTCAATGGGGTTCTCTCTCTGGCAGGCCTCTCAGAGTGCATATAAGACTTAATAAGAAACCCTTGATTATTCAGGAATGAAACCCTTCTCTTCGTATGGTAATGTGCCTGCTCCTGATTACATTCACTTGTGTCATTCCCTGAAATGACTTGTGTTGGTTAGATTCTGGGCCAATTCTTTTTGTCCTTTATCTACATATTAAAATCACTTTTTATATTAACTTCCTGCCTCACTCTTAAGCCTTTTCCTCTCCCACTGACAGGATCTACTTCAAGGATATGAATGGTTACAATATCGAGTTTTTCTTACTTATTGACTTGTCTGTGGGCTCACTTATTCAATTTATTTTTTTAAAAATTATCAAAGAACTACTTCAGCCCTAACAAGCTCTGTGAGCAGGATACAAAGATGACTGAGTCCTGCGGGAGGAAACATATGTTTATGTCATCAACTCTGATATGGTACGATACATGTTATTACAGCAGTTACGAATAAACTGCTATGCAGGAATGATTAAATCTCCTTCGGTGGAGTCTAGTTGAGAGAAGAGGTGATTTCTGAATTGAACCCAGATGAATTAGGTTTTATCAGATGAATAAAATTCTAGGGAGAGGGAATAAGACCAGGCAACAAGCTGTCCTCTGGATTCTGATTCATCAGAACTAGTACATTTGAAGGTAGGTCATGCCTTGCTCCCCAAAACTGCCCCGTGAGCGTAGATTACAGAGTGTTAGGGTGCTGGTTTGGGCCCACATCCGTCAAATGACAATAATACCAACCTGACAGATTTCATAGGACAGCTGTAAGGATTAAAGCATGAGCTCTTCTTTCTCATTAGGAAAGGTGTGTGCTTACGTGACAAATAAGACTGATCAGTTAAACATCAATCTAAAAGGAAGCCTGAGTAGATATTGAATGTTAGCATTTTCATCACACTCCCTCACATCATGATGATACCTGTTAATACAGGTCATCCCTGGGGTTGGCAGGGCTGGATGAGAAAGGTGAAGGGGTTAAGCAAAACAAAAGCAAGCAAAAACAAAAACACAAACAAAAAGGTCATCCTTGTATCTCCTGAATAAGTTATTTGACTTGAGTAATTATGGGCATACTTTTCTGCTTGTCTTTGTACCATCACAAGGTGAGTGGGGATAGGAGTGGAGTAGACTAGGCAGCATGCCAAATTAATTACAACTCTAATTGTAAATTCTTACCTTAGCCAGATTATCGTTTTACTACATGTTCACTTGTGAGAACACTCTGCTATGAATTGCTTATTTTGATAAAGTACATCTTTAATTTGATTGTAGTTGACATTTGTGATGTTATTCTCAGTTCACATTTTCATTTGTCCTTCTATAACAAGTGAAACCTATTAGCTCCATAAATTGATTAAAAGTTCATATGTAAATATTTTCCAAAGGAAACATGCTTTTAGTTACATAAAGTCTAATTCGTTTATCTTTCTTTTCATGGTGGTGAATAAGTGGCTGATTTTTACTACTTCTAATCACTTTAATTAGCTTTTTAAAACCTGCTACCAGTATTGGTAATGTCTCTATTGTGTTATTAGCAATGAATTATCAAAAACAGATGACAGCATTCCAATATTTTAGTTAGTAAAATGTTCCTTTCAAAATAACTTTCTGGTGCAGAAGAACTTAAGCTTTTTTCTTTAATGGTATTGGAAATATATAACTGATGAGTAAAAGTAATAGAACATACTGAAATAATTCAATATACAATATGGAGATTTTGTTAGTTATTTTAATAAAAACTACATATGATTAGGAAATTGAGAGCTTACTTACGTTTTTCCCATATTATTATTTCCTATTTTGACTTTAGAAATTTCCTCTAGAATATAAAAACAAAATCTTCAATATCACTGGTCAATTTCAGAAATATTCAAAATGATATGAGACTAAGGAGCAATGTCCTCTGATACCCACATTCCAGTAAAAGTTCAAAAGAAAACAAATTTTTAAGTTGTGGAGAAAATTGTAGACCTATCCACATGAGCACAACTAAAGTTGATTTCTTGCTTATCATCTATGTTAGCATTTGTATTGCCATCCTAAAAGCATGTTGAAATTATACTACAATCCCAGCTAGATTCACATTAGCCAAAAGTCTTTGGTCAAAAAGAACACGTGCATTCTTTGTCTCTGTTTCCCAAGTGGGCCTGTAGCTGTTGTGAAATCTCAAGTTATCTGCCATGAGTTGAAACTCTGCTTCACTCTCTCTAATGTAATCAGTAGGTTGTGGAGAAATAGAGTGGGTAGCCTTGTTCACTTACAACATTTTCTCCCTGGTAAAGGATGACCTTCCACATATTCCATCATAATGTGCCAATAATGTCCTTCTGTTTAGGAAAAGAATTTTAAAATTTTTCTAAAATAAATTAGAACATGAATTCTTATAATGTAACGTATCAGCTATGAGAATTGTAAGTCATAAATCATGGTTCTTTTTGTTCCAAATTGGTGAATTATTACAAGTTTTGTCACTAAAAAATCAAAATAAAAAATGAAAAATGTGCCGCATCTCTAATTTTATAGGTGAACTACTACTAGGTCTGACTATGATGTTCTCAAGAAATCTCTGGGTGTAATGAGCATTGCTTAAATGTTGTTAGGTGGCTTGGGTTTGATCCTGTCCTCGTAAACTTCAGGTGCATCCATGGGCATTGAAAACAGAAAGCCTGAGTACTGGTGCAAGAGAGTACTAAATCTTTAGTTCATACTCTAGCTCCTAAAACCACATGCCACCAGTTTCTAAGGGAAATACTGGTTTTCTGGATTCTATTTTCTGCTTGTTGTGCAGCATCACTGGCCAATGTAACTGAATAACAAGATTCTAAAAGGATTTCCATCCAAATCCAGAGGTAAGGCAGAAATAGTCATTGAAGCACGTAGTCCAAACTGTTATGTGGTCCCTGGAAAGGACTCCATAAACAATTGTATAGATTTTACTTTTACCTAATAGAAGTCCTTGAAGCTTCTGGTGTTTTTCCCTCCTAAGGAAAGGAAAAGGCAAATAGATTGTCCCTTTCATGAAAGAAGGTTTCCTTCTGCATGTAAATTCCAACCCAGTAAATTTGTGGGCTCTCTGCCAGTTAATCAGCCAAGGACATTTTTTGAGGACTTTCTATGTATAGAATACTGAATTAAGCCATAAATCAGACCTGTTTGGGGCTAGATTTTTTTCTCCTTGCTTACAAAAAATTTACCAGTTAGATACTATATCATGTCAAGTACCCTAAATCATTCCATGAATCTCTGGAAGCTTTGGGAAATTGGAAAATTTTGTGGATGACAGACCTGTCCACATCCTAAATAGCTACTAAAGAATGATAGTTATAACAAAACATTTTATTTATGTAACATGACATGAAAACCCATTGTTGTGCTACTAAACACTTTAATGATTTCAGGAATTCACAAAAAATATCTGAAGCATTTGACCTAAGACTATTTCTTTCTTTATTCTTGACTTAAAAATAAAGTCACTTAGAGCTGCGGGTGAGTTCAGGTTCCTTGTTTGCACATGGCTTCAAAAGGCTGACTCCATGGCAGAGTCACCATTACCCTCCCGAAGATGTACAGGCAGAATTTCTCTTGTCCATTGTATTATTTTTTTAATTTTTAAAATTGTTTTTCAGTTACAGTTGTCATCATTTTTTTCCCATTGCTCTCCCCTCCCCATCCAACGCCTGCTCCCCTAAACAATCCCCTTCCCATTGTCTTTGTCCATGGGTCCTTTGTACATATTCTCATTCTTATCTGGGTCTTTCCAAGACTATTTTGCTTATAATAAAAAAAAGTGAATGATATATGATAAAGATGCATCACTCAAATAATGGAGAAAAGGTAAACTCTTTAGCTGATGGTATTGGAACATTAGCTCATGATGTGGAGAAAAATTCCTATACTGCATGCTAGAAAAAGTTAGACTGCAGGTAGATTAAAGATGGATTCAAATGTAAACTATAAAGCTAATAGAAGTAAATGTTAGTAAGAGGCTGTACTTCTTAAATATAACCCCAAAATATTTTTTAAGTCAGTTAAGAAATGATGTCTATGGCTATATTAAAATGAAGGGTTTCTAGTCAATAAATGGCACTTTAAACAAAATGAACAGGCTGGTGACAGCCCGGAATAGCTTTTAGCAATGTGTAAAATTAATGACATTAATATAGAAACATTACTAAAAACTGCAAATCAATAAGTAAAAGACAAGAATCTCAATATAAAAGTAAACAAAAGATAAGAATGTGGTCTACCAAGGGAAATGTTAAATAGCTAATAAGATAAAAAAGTGATGCTCCGGCTTACTAGTACCTGAGAAATAAAAATTAAAAGGAGATATATTATTTTAGCAAGAATTAATAAGGTCATTAATTCTAAATGCTGATGGAAATTTCAACTGATTTAACCATTTTGGAAAGTAGTCTGGAAGTACTGAGCTAGTCAAATTAATTATTTGTTTGCTCTGTGGCCCAGCAATCCCACTTTTTGGATACATGCCCCAGAGAACTTCTTGTACAGGTCCACAGGAGACTGCTACTAACATATTGATTTCACTATTTTTTGTGGTTGCAGGAAGTTGGGCACACGGG